TCTCTTCCTTCAGCCTCATCAAGAGGCTCTTTAGTTCCTCTTCTCTTTCTGCCATTAGAGTGGTATCATCAGCATAACTGAGGTTGCTGATGTCACTGAGGTTACTATCCTTGTAACCCTGAACAAATCATTTATCTTCTTGGAATCTAAATTTCACCATCCAGGTATTTCTTTTTTCCTATCCAGGTATTTTTTTCACTACATCTAGGTGTAGTTATTGTGAGGTTTAGTAACTCAGGTATGTAAGACTCTAGCAGAGTGACTGATTGAATGCTCATTAAACTCCCTTTCCTTCTCCTTAGCATTCAGAGCTCTTTTTCTCCTATGTAATCTATACCAAGATGAAATAAGTTCCATTTGTTAACAACGAAGTTCTCTCTATGGTGGCTGTGAGTGATCTGGGCTTGCAGATGAAATTAAAGTATTTAAATATTATTACAACCAATCAAATATATTTTCAAGATAATCCCCCAAGCCCACGGATGTCATTCTTTGTCAAATTGTTCTCTGAGGCTTGCTGACTACAGTATATGCAAATCCACTCTCTCTCTCTTTTTTAGTTTCTTCATTTCATAGTAAATAAGAGCAGTGACTTTCTTTCATTTATTAATTCTAACTACAATGTTTTTCAAAAATATTTAGAAAAATCTCATAAACCAATTTTTTAAAAATATAATATCTATAAACTTTTCAATGTTAAGCACCACTATAATGCAACGTGTCAGCTAGTATAATGTTTTAACAGAATAGACCCAAGTGAAATGAAAGATAATTTTGTAGAGAATGGTTGTAGTAATTGCCTTCTGATTTACACCCCAAATTTGAATTAATTTTGAAAAAAATCTGACCATACATTAGTGTGGAACTTCCAAAGACATATATTTAAGTGTCACATTATTAATTCCATCAATCATTTATATAATTAGTATTAATGAACACCTCCTTTTTGCCAGGCTGTGTGCTTGGGACTCCAAAGTGAAATTCTGTAATCCTGACAGCAGCAAGTTTGTTCTAGTGAGAAAGACATGTAAACAAATACAGTTCTATAAAGTAATTGATACAAAAGAAAATGATCCAAGAGCAGAGGGGAATATTTGAAAGACCAAGGAGGTTCACTTGGAGAACTTGGGGAGCCTTCACAGAGGAGGCCAGCTGAGATCAGGATGAGTGAGAGGTTATCAGGTGTGTGAGTAGGAAGAAGCTATTTGGCAGGGAGAATAGAATGAGAAAAAGACGGAGGTTTGAGGGAGCCTAGAGTGGCCTGTGGGCAGCCTGGTGGCTCAGATGGTGAAGAATTCACCCGCAATGCAGGAGACCCAGTTTCAATCCCTGGGTTGGTAAGCTCCCCTGGAGAAGAGAATGGCTAGTATGGCTAGAACACTCCAGTGTTCTTGCCTGGAGAATTCCATGGACAGAGAAGCCCAGCAGTCCATGGGGTTGCAAAGAATCAGACACAACTGAGCAATTAACACACATAGAGTGATCTGTAATGTTTAAGAGCAGGTTAGTATTGTTAGGGCATAAATTACTGTTAGAGGGGGATGTAGGAAAGGCTGGTGGAAATAAGGCCAGATAGTTAGGGAGAAGCCAGATCATGTAAGCTTACATAGCAGGCAAAGATGTGACAATGGTTTTCCTCTGTGTAGGTTGTGGGGGAAGTGACGGAAGAATTTTTAATACAGAAGTTTCAGAATCATATCCATATGCTTTTATTCCTAAAGAAGACTAACAATATTCTTTTTTTGTTTGCAAGTTACAGAAATGGTGCACACAGACCTCTTTGTTCCTGAGGTTCTAATGGTTCTCATTGTAACAGAATTCAGGGATGCCAAAAGAAATATTTGAACTAAGTGATATGTCAAAATTACAATAAGAGCCTGTGAGCAGATTTTTAGTTAACAGGTTTTCAATAGGCAGTGATGCAATTCTTAATGAAGAAGGTTTAATTACTATAAAAGATGCCTGTCTCTAATGGAAATTGGGCTGGGTGTGTTTTTAATCCCTCGGTGAATTAATTAAAAGGTCTATATAGGATTGATTGTTGAGATTCTTGGAGAAAACACATATACACCAATGAAAACGTTCCAGTCATTTTCTTTATCTCTTGGAGCAAAGCAGTCCATCTGCCAGAAATAAATTGAGCATAATTTTTATAATTTCAGGGGTTAAGCATATGAAAGGCCAGAATGAATCAGCATTCCCTGAAGAGGAAGAAGGCGTGAACGAGAGTGTGCAGCAGTGGGACCATTAATTACGGGTCTGCAACAAGAAGGCTTCTTGGGAATAACTGAACTATCAACCTTTCTGAATAGCCCATGGAATGCCACTGCTTAATTTCTCCTCTGCTCGCCACACTCATACAATAGTAACACACCTCCTGGGAAGTGCCCCTCGATGGAACTTTAGAACCACCTACAGATTGTTTCATATTATGATACTTACAATTAAAGAATAAGTATTTATTTTACAGTGATTTTTCTTTTTAACAACATAGAAAATGTGCAAACATGTGAGTGTTCTAACTTTAATACTGCCCAGCTTAATCCCTGATGTCCTACTGATACAATTTGCCTTCTAAGGTCAAATGTAAATAGCATCACTTTAAAGGAAAAAAAATAAATATTAAATATCTTTAGACATGAGTACGTGTCTGGGTTTAACTTACAAAGGAATTTAATTAAACTTTTAAGTTAAGCTCTGCATTTATCATGTTTCTGTATACTTAATGGTACATGGTATTTATTTCAAAATGATTAAGAAATGCCAGATTTTTTGATTCAAAATATCAAAAGGTATTCATCTTTAGATATTAAACATCCTTTTCTCTCCAACAACACATTAATGGTTAAAGGACCACAGAAGTTTCTCCATTTTCTAAGCTGTGAGAAATGTATTTTTTATCACTTCCACTAGTTATTCAGAAAGAAAAATTATAACTCTAAAATAAAACATGCCAAATCTCCCCTATTGCTTATTTTTGGCTATTACTTGAAATATGAGGTGTTTCCTATTGCATTTTAATGAATAATTAGATTTTATAAATCTATTATCATAAGAAATTTCATTAATTCATGCTTTTATTAATTCAACAACTATTGTTTATGAGTTTATCTCTAAAAAGGTACTTTGCCGGGTGTTATGAAAATAGAGGAAAGAGTATTTCTCCACTACAGAACTGGCAGAGAAACATCAGTGCAAAGCAAGATTTTCCAAGACAGTATGTATTTACTGAATATGACTTTTGATCATTCAAAGTCTTGGCATCCTGAACAATATTGATTATTTATTGCATTATAATGTAGAGTATCTGTACCACAATTTAATGGACTGTAGCCCTCCAGGCTCCTCTGTCCATGGAATTCTCCAGACAAGAATACTGGAGTGGGTTGCCATGCCCTCCTCCTGGGGATCTTCCCAACCCAGGGATAGAATTCCCATCTCTTAAGTCTCAGTGGCATTAACAGGTAAGTTCTTTACTGCTAGAACCACCTTGGAAGCCTAATGGAGGTGAAGGAATGCCCAATTTGGTTCCCACATTAATAATATTAGTGAAGTCCAAAAGTTTCATTGATTAAAAAAATTAAGTTGAAAAGATTTCTCAAAAGTCAGTAAAGAGATAAATTAAGATAGGAAGAAAAAATCAAATGTGAAATCTACTGTGGGATCTTAGTATCAAGGTGCAAAAGAGTAAAACTACTGTTTTTAATTTTGACTGTGAGTTTTATAATATATAGATGAAAAGAAATGGGTGAATCTATAAGGCAGTGAAATGGAGATAACAATCATTTTCCTTAGGATATTTTCGCCAAGAAAATAAATGCAAAACTCATTGACAAGTAGTATCTCAAGTATGTATGAATACTTATTCCAAGTTTCCTTCTTTTTTCCTTTCTTCTTTTCTTCTTTCCTGCCTCTCATCCTTCCTTTCTTTCTTTCTCTTCTCCCTCCTTCCCCCTGGCTTGTTTCGTTTTTGCGAAGCCAGTTTCACCCCAAATTTCTGGAGTTTCTAGACCACCTGCTGTGACTGTTTATTTGATTTTCTAAGTTTCTCCGTGATTAAAAGCTGATTAAGGCACATATTTAGGTGATTTTGAATTATTTGTGTTTGGAAAACATCCCGATACCCCTTGAGATTATTTGAGGTACCCCGAGGTGCTAAAAATTAAACTGCCCTTCCCTTCTTATGAACAGACATTTTTATAAATGTTTTTTCAAAAGGATTCAGACAAGCAAAAGAAACCAAAGCTTTTGCTGATTTTGTAACATTGTGGGGAAATAAACAGCATGACCTCTGGATTCTTCTGTTTTCCATTTTTAAAAATAAAAAGACATCAAAATTAAAAGAATAAGTTTCCTTCAGAATCACTGGATTCTTCTATTTTATTCTGTACCCCCAAAACATGGAGATCACAATTACAAGCCTAAGTTTTTCTTTGGAAAAGTGTTGACTTTCTCAGAAATTTCGAGGAAGCCAGCTGAGATAATGGCTCTTCAGGTTCCTTTTCACACAGTTACAGTTTACAGCAAAACTTTTTCACAGTGACAACTTGGCTTCAGTTTGGCTGAAAGATTTTCTGACCAAAACAAAACACAGCAAAACAAAACAAAAACTTTGTCTTTTCCAGACAACATTTATAATGTAATATAATGGTTAGTAGGTGCGCTTTGAGTCAACTGACTTGGGTTCAAATTCAACCTATACCAAGTCTCAGACTCAGTATCTCCATCTGTAAAATGAGTACAATCATACTTACTTACCCTTATTGGATAATTGTAAAAATTAAAAGAGATGGGTCTATAAAAAGTTTAGCCCAGCATCAGTTCAGTTCCGTTCAGTCGCTCAGTCGTGTCCAACTCTCTGTGACCCCCATAATGAGTATTTAATAACTGGTGTTTATCAGTGCTGCTGGAATGAGAAATGACCTGAGGCTCTCTATCCAAACCTCCCCTCATGACCCCCTACAACAGCACAGACATGGCATTGCTTCTCTTACTCTTGAATGGCTCAGCTGAATCCCAAACCCAGCCAAGGAACTTTCTTCTTTTGCGTGTTAATCTCTCTCTTTCTGCTGCACTTTACCTCCTTCCCCATATCACATCTGTTCAGATACCGAAGAACACTCTGGTGTCATCTCCTAAGTGGTCTCCTTTCTGGGATAATACTTCATCAGTTCCTCCCAGTCCTTTCTGACTATGCTGGCCACGTGTTCTTTGATACTCTTGCATTGCATACTCTGCATCTGGGAAAGATTAAGTCAGTTGGATTAGCTGAGCATTTTTTAAATCCCTCTACACATGAGGACCTGAAGCAGAGAGTATAGAGGGGTAGAGCAGAATTCTAAGCAAGATTTATTTCTATTAAACAATAATTTTATAACCCCCTTTTCTTCCCAGAGTTGTGCAGGGTAAGCATCTTTATAATAAACAAAATTCTCAGACAATTTTCTGTTCTTAAAAAAGTTTCACCATTCTTTTAAATTTTAATTCAAAACAATCCATTTTAAATTGTATTTCAATTATACCACTGCTGTCTATATTGTGGAAATGGATGATTTTAGGTTAGCCATGGACAAGTTATTTTTATATTTATAAATACAATTATATATTAGAAAGGATACTTAATCACCAATCCTTAAGCTATTGTTGTTTAGGATGAGACAAGCTTAAAGTGTGAGTATATTTTAAATCAATATTTTTAAAAGGTGTTAAACAATCATAGTAGTTATATAATCATAGTTAAATAATTAAGATTGCTGGGAGAAACATCAATAACCTCAGATATGCAGATGACACCACCCTTATGGCAGAAAGTGAAGAACTAAAGAGCTTCTTGATGAAAGTAAAAGAGGAGAGTGAAAAAGTCGGCTTAAAGCTCAATATTCAGAAAACTAAGATCATGGCATCTGGTCCCATCACTTCATGGCAAATAGATGGGGATACAGTGGAAACAATGTCTGACTTTATTTTTCTGAGCTCCAAAATCACTGCAGGTGGTGACTGCAGCCATGAAATTAAAAGATGCTTAGTCCTTGGAAGGAAAGTTATGACCAACCTAGACAGCATACTAAAACACAGAGACATTACTTTGCCAACAAAAGTCTGTCTAGTCAAGGTTATGGTTTTTCCAATAGTCATGTGTGGATGTGAGAGTTGGACGATAAAGAAAGCTGAGCACAGAAGAATTGATGCTTTTGAACTGTGGTGTTGGAGAAGACTCTTGAGAGTCCCTTGGACTGCAAGGAGATCCAGCCAGTTCATCCTAAAGGAGATCAGTCCCGGGTGTTCATTGGAGGGACTGATGCTGAAGCTGAAGCTCCAATACTTTGGCCACCTGATGCGAAGAGCTGACTCATTTGAAAAGACCCTGATGCTGGGAAAGATTGGGGGCAGGAGGAGAAGGGGACGACAGAGGATGAGATGGCTGGATGGCATCACCAACTTGATAGACATGGGTCTGGATAGACTCCAGGAGTTGGTGATGGACAGGGAGGCCTGGCGGGCTGTTGTTCATGGGGTCACAGAGTTGGACATGACTGAGCGACTGAACTGAACTGAATCATAGTAGAAGTGATACCTCAAAATCATGAAAGTGATATACAATTGAGTGAAGTTTTAGAAACACTGTTATGGGGTATTGTCATAGCACATAACTTAATTGCAAGTATTGCAGAGTTTTCTTAGAAGCAATATGGATTTATGAATTCCTCAATAAACCACTTACATTGCATTGCTTTAAAAATTCTATTTACCCATATCTAAAAGCAAGCAATGTAAAGTGCAACTGATAATGGAAAAGCATGTCTAACTACACTGAAGTGTTTACGGTTACATGGAATTTTGAGTATTTGATTTTTCCAAAGGAGGATGGGAAAGAAATGTCCTTAGTTTTCTAAGTCCTTGATTCTAAAGACCAGTCTTCAAAGCTGGTAGGTATGCATACCTGCATGTGTGCTAAGTCACTTCAGTCGTGTCCGACTCTCTGCAACCCCATGGACTGTAGCCCACCAGGCTCCTCTGTCCATGGGATTTCCCAGGCAAGAATACTGGAGTGGGTTAGCATTCCCTCCTCCAAGGGATCTTCCTGACCCAGGGATCAAACCTACGTCTCTAATGTCTCCTGCATTAAAAATGTGTACGTTACAGAAATGTGAAATCTGTTGAAGAAATTAAATTATTAATCTTCATAATATTCTGAAGAACTAAATTTCAGAGTAAGAAGAGCTTTTGGAAAATGATGGAGAGCATCTTCGGTTTTGTAAATTGTAAATAATTATGGTGATAAACTTTACAAATATCCCATAGAATTCACATAGCAATGGAGGTAAAAACTTACAGTTTACAAGGTTGTGTGAGTTAAATGAAATAATCTACATGAATGCACAGGTGCCTGATTGCATTTTGTAAAGAGTCTACCATTCAACCATAGAACTGTCCTAGATGTTTAGTGTGAGGCTCCCTTATTCTGTGGAAACAGACATTGGTGCAGGCCACTTCTCTCACTGCATTTCATACTTAATTTATGCAGATAATGGAGACTTGGTCTGTAGAGAGAAGATCAACATGAGAGTAGATTAGAGAGAAAAAGAGGTGAAGGAAGGAACACAAAGAAGCCTGGTAACTTGAAGAAAACAATTGGAGAAAGTAGACTAAAATGGTATTGGATTTATTTTCACTTTTCTTCTCAATCTACAAATATGACTTACCAAATTTTTCCTCTTCCTCTAACTTTTTGTAAAAATGAGGCTAATTTGAGGGAATGAGCACAACAAGCCCCAGGAGAATATGGCATTATCATGTTAGAATCCTAAAAATAACAGAATTCTAGAGTATATTCAGCAAATGATACTTCATTATTTTTAGAACAAGCATTTGACAGCAAATAATAGAAAACCAGCAAACAATGGATAGAGGTTTATTTATATATCATTCAGGAAAATGTTCAGAACTGGAATTGTGCCTCCAGACACCAATGGGCATCTAGGTACCTTTCATTGTCCTTAGCATCTCAAAGAATTGATGCTTTTGAACTGCGGTGTTGAAGACTCTTGAGAGTCACTTGGACTGCAAGGAGATCCAACCAGTACGTCCTAAAGGAAATCAGTCCTGAATATTCATTGGAAGGACTGATCCTGAAGCTGAAACTCCAATATTTTGGCCACCTGATGCAAAGAACTGACTTATTTGAAAAGATCCTGATGCTGGGATAGAATGAAGGCAGAAGAAGGGGACAACAGAGGATGAGATGGCTGGATGGAATCACTGACTCATTGGAATGAGTTTGACAAAGCTGCAGGAGTTGGTGATGGACAGGGAAGCCAGGCACCCAGTCCTAATCAGTGAAGTGTGAAGAATGGTGTGTGTGTGTGGGGGGGGGTAACCAGATGATCACGTGAGGCTCCTTCCAACCCTAAGACCTTTGTTTCCCCCTTTGGTTCTTTCAGGAACTGCAGACAAGCAGCAAAGGACAGAAGAGATGGGACTAGACGGAAAGCAGCAGCACTAAAGGAAGATGGGATCAGAAGAGAAAAGGGGTATCTTTGAATGCTTGTCTGAGAGCCACCAGAACAAAATTGTTTACGTTAGAAATACACATACACTACATGTATGTATAGTATGCATGCACGTAACAGCATTAGCATTGTAGCCAATTGTTTTCTTTTTTGATTTCTTAGAAAATGGTCTGAAAACTGGTGATAAATTTTTATCCTTTTAAAATTTAAAAGGAATTCTTTCCAGGAAAAATTTCCTCCCACAAATCACCAATCGGATAATTTATCTAAGCATACAAGTTTCTTGCCTTTAAGTGATGCATAGCAGATTTTTCCCTCTACAGAGATTTACATGGCATGGTATAAGTTCTATGGAATATTCCCCCTGAATATTCTGAAGTAATAATTATTTTCTTTTTCTCCTCCAGGTGCAAAATGGGTTGATAACAAACAGAAGCTGATTTAGTGCTGTGTTCCTACTTGTGCTTGGAAAAATACCAATGCAAAACAAACCCATCACCACCATCACCTCCAACTCCATCATCATGTGTTATTTTCTTTCTCCAGGACTGCTCTCTGAAGTACTTTCGATATTTTATATGTAAACATTGACATGCTTTTCATAAATTGTTCCTTCATTTTTTTTTTTTTTTTTGGCTAATCACTGATGCTACTCTATTTGCCAAGTTCCTTTTCATTTCAATTTATTTCTCTCTATAGCCAAAAGTGACATCTTGAATTTGAGTAAATTTTAAGTGATTCATTTTTAGTTTTTCTATTTCTGGAATAGGGGCTTCCCTGATAGCTCAGTTGGTAAAGAGTCTGCCTGAAATGCAGGAGACCCCCGTTCGATTCTTGGGTCCAGAAGACCCACTGCAGAAGGGATAGGCTACCCATCCCAGTATTCTTGGGCTTCCCTTGTGTCTCAGCTGGTAAAGAACCCACCCGCAACGTGGGAGACCTCTGTTTGAGCATTTGGGTTGGAAGATCCCCTGGAGAAGGGAAAGCCTACCCACTCCAGTATTCTGACCTGGAGAATTCCATGGACTGTATAGTCCATGGGGTCACAATAAATTTTCTCTTACAATAAGGAGGCTTTTAAATATATTTTCTTTCTTGTTTTTTAAATTCCATTATATTTATTTATTCCTTTGCTTTTCAAATGCTATTGGTTTTGATTCAATTTATTTCCACAAATATATAAATATATATACACACACACACACATATATATTGATAGGCTACTACATACAAACTACTGATTCACGTGTCAGTTATAAAAATGAGAAGGCTTCAATTGTTGCCATCCTGCTAGTAATTATATGCTCAGTTCCTTACAATTAATAAAGCGGCCTCACCTGTTTTTCAGCTAATGATCACATTAGATATGTATGATGGGTAGGATTCATTTTACAGAACAGGAAACTAGAGTCCAAAGAAAGTGGCCCTAAATGAACCAATGGTCCAACAAACTCTTCCACTGTCTTATGATCTGTTTGAGAAGTTGTAATAGTTTTTAGGATGAAAAAGCCTATCCTCCTTAGGAACCATAGGTTTTCATGTTTTCTTATAGTGCTTTATAGATTGACTTAGAAGTAAGTTTTCTACATTTCATACACAAAGCATATGGGGATACTTTTGCTGAGACTGGGGTGGGAAGAAGGACCTGAGTTTTACTTTGATGCTTTGACATTGACTTCAAACTAAAATGACCTATGGCCAATAAAAAAGAAAATCTGAAACTCTTTTTGAAGTATTTGGCACATTTAGAAATCTTTTCTATGTTTGCATGTGCGCTTAGGCCCTTAGTCAGGTTGGGCTCTTTGAAACCC